CTCTCTATGGATTCTTGAAACCTGTTGAATTTGTCATTATACTCTTCTCTAATCTTTTTAATTTCCTCTATTGCCTGTTTTGCATTTTCATGGCTTTCCTTCCTAATCTCTTGAAAAGTCCTATATATTAATCTTTTGTATTTTGCCTCCGGTAATTCCAAGAAATGTTCGTCCTCTGGAAAATTTCTAGATTCTTTATTTTGGGAGCTTGCTGAAGCCATCGTGGACTGCCTTTTTTTGTTATTTGATATTGACTGTTGTCTCCAAGCCATCAATAAGTTATTATATTTATTTATTTTATGTTTGCTTACTGTGTCGTAGCTTCTTGTTTTGTTTTGTTTTGATATGCCCAAATAGGCTGCTCCTGTGAGCTAGTTTGATTATTGGCACCTTAGAAGCTCTAATGTCCTTTCACCAGATGGTTAGATCTGTTACTAGGTATGTGAGCTCAGGAGTCCACCCACTCCTCCTGTATGGATTCAGCTCAGGTGCCCAGGTAGATAGCCACCAAGTATGTGATGCAGGCTCTCACCTAGATTCCTAGACAGGCATATGTGATTGGTGTAGGCACAGGCATCTGGCTGCAGCAGGGGGACACACTCTGAGCAAGGCAGGGGGCTGACGGCCACCCCCGAATGTCCAGGAAGACATGTCCCTGTTCCCTAGAGTGCGTAGATGGGTGGGTTTTGCAGCTGGACTATGAGCACCCAATGCTGTTGGCTGTAAGGACTGGGGGGCACCTCTTATTCTTGGACCCCTATCACAGGTGGCTAGGTGGCATGGGTCGAGCCACCAGTCATCAGGCCCCTGATGTTGGTAGGTGAAGACCCTGCTTAATGGGTAGAGCAGTGTCAAATGTCACAAACCTGAGACTTCACAGCTGAAACATTTGAAGTTAGACTTCAGGTATATACCCTGTTGTACTGTGGTAATGAGGGCCTGAGCTGTTGAAATGGGCCCACACAAGTCTATGCAGGGAAAAAGGCACTCAAAGTTCATGGATCCCTTATTCCTGTGCCTAGGCAAAGGAGCTGTGCCTACCGTGAGTTCCTGGCTTCGGGGAGCTGGCAATTTTTTCCCCCAGTTTGTTAATTTGTTCACTCTCCAAGGCCGGGAGAATGGCCCAGCATGTGTGACAGATTCTACTTCCTGCCCAGGGGACTCTGCAGTGGCTGAAGCCAGCCCTGGACCCAGTGCAGAGCAGGCAGTGGGGAGGTAAATGGGGGAGAGGTTTTTCCCTAAGGGGGGTGTTTTTCATCCACACGGTAGGCTGGACGCAATTACTTATCTTTCTCTGGTCGAGGGCTGCTTCTCGCTGGTTCTGGGTGGCCAAGTAAACCGTCTCCCTCTGGGTCTCTTCCGATGTGGAATATGCCTCCCGAGCACGGCTGCTTGCCTGCCTCACTGCTCACCCCCGAGCTGATCAGGCCTAAAGGGCTCAGGCTCTCACCGGGTGAGGTCTGGCAACTCCTCGCTGCTTCCGAACCATCTCTCCCCGCCCCTGAAACTCAGTCTGGTTCCTCAACTTTATCTTAGGTGTTCAGAGCTCCTAAACTGTCATATATAATCAATTCACTTGTTTTTTCGGGTCTTTGTTGTAAGAGGGTCCACCAGAAACGTCTGACTACTCTGCCATCTTGGCCTGCTTTCTCTTCATTTAATTTTTAAAAATTTAAATTTAAACACTGATTCTCAGTTCAATTATTGGAAAACTTTTAAGTATGTTTGGAACAAGTTGGGTGTGTGAATTTTTTTTTCAACTATAAATTTTATGAAATCTAATTACAGGTCAAGTATTTCTAATGAAAATTTAGCAAACAAATTGAGATACATTGTAAGTGTAAAATACACACTGAATTTCAAAGACTTAATATTTTCAAAAGGATGTAAAATATCTAAATTTTTATATTGATTACATGTCAAAATGATAATATTTTGTATGAATTAGGTTGAATAAGATATACTATTAAAATTAATTTCACCTGTTTCTTTTTACTTTTTAAATGTGGATATAGAAAATTTAAAATTATATTTGTGGCTCACATTATATTTCTACTGGACAGTGCAGCTCTAGACTGAACCACCTTTGAATCCAAAAGGGAGTAAGATAGTGAGGTTCCATTGACTGGGTAGCCCTCAAGGATACACTGGGGTTATGGTCCAGAAATCCCACTCCTAGGTATATACCCTAAAGATCTAATAAAATATACACGGACAGACATATGCACACATATGTTCATTGCAGCCTTGTTCACAGTAGCAAAAAAATGGAAACAGCCTAAGTGCATTTCAACAGATGAATGGATAAACAAAATGTGGAACATACATACAATGGAATATTATGCAATCATAAAGAACAATGATGAGCCTGCAAAACATAACATGGATGGATCTGGTGGACATAATTGTAAAATGGTGGAAGTAGTAATGTCAGTACTGTCAGAACCTGTCTGAATTCATGGGGGATAATGAGAATCAAGATCAGCCCAAGGTTGATCTCTGTGAGGTGTAAGTCAGACATAACCTCCACTCTCCAACCTTTTACCAATTCTGACACCAGCCATCCCTCTCACAACACTCTCTACTTCTCTTCTGTGTTTGTTAATCCATTTCAATGGCCACACAGAACTCACAGACCATACTTGCAGTTAAGTGGTTTATTTAATAACAGGGTACAACTCAGGATCAGGATCAATAGGCTACAACTCAGGAATCAGGATCAGGAAGTATGTAGGCTGAGTCTCCCTTCTTCAGTCAGAATCAGGAAGTATGTAGGCTGAGTCTACCTTCTTCAGAGCGGGACAGCTCTCTTAGCTCCTGTCAGCCTGAGGACAGGCTCCTCTCAGCCCTCTGAGGACAGGCTCCTCTAGGTCCTGCTGTCTGTCACTTACGGGCCTCTTGCTGTCTTCAGCATTAAAGCCCTTGACCTGTGTTACAGCTTTTTTTAGGAGGCTCTTTGCCTCTTCCCTCCTTCTGCTTCTTCTCTCTTCTTCCGTCCTTCTGTTTCTTCCTGCTGCTTCTCTTCCTGCTTCTTTGCTCAACGTCTGTAGGGCTGGATGTACATATATATATGTATACACACACACACACACACACACACACACCTCCTTGTCAATTTCAAGACACAGCCCCTCCCAGTGGGGCCACAAACAGATCAATTCCCTCTCAGTAGGCCACAGACGCTTCATTGGCATAGTAGGCACGGCTGAGCTACAACTCACCTTATTTGCATAGTCTATTGACCAATCCCTGCAAGGTACATACCAATCACAGCTCAAGCTGTAGCCCAGGACCAGACAAAAAGTATCAAAACCAAGTTGTTTACAGCTTGCCCAAGAAATGTCAGTCACCTTGGACAAAAGCAACAAACCCTCTAGGGTAGAAAACTAGGGCAAGGTAACTCCTCAAGGCTTAGGGGAAAAATCTTTCAAGTTGTTTTTCCAAAGAACCAAGGCAAAAGCCCACATGAAAGAACTCATTTCACCATAATAATGCTAAGTGAAGTAAGTCAATCACATAAGGACAAATGTTGTATGATCCCACTTTTATAAGAAGATAAGAATAGATATATATATATATACAGAGACTAATGTTCATTGGTGGTTACCAGGGATGGAGCAGGGGAGTCACTCTCTAGATTGTAGATACTTGTTATTTTTGGTGATGGGAAAAGTTGCATCAGATGTTGGTTTAATGAACACAGCTTGGCCAAAGTAAATGATGTCACTAAGGAGTGCCCAAGAGAAAAAGATGTTTATGCTAAAGAATATGACATACATAATTTGGCAACAATACCAGCAATAACCAAAAAAAAGCATATGGTCACATATGTATGTGTATAGGTATATATGTGTACAGGTGGGTACAAATGTGTACATATGTGTGCATAGATAGAAGTATCTATATATATGTGTATGTACAGATAATGTGTGTGCATGCATATATATTAATAGAGGACACAGTTACATATACTTCGCAGCCATAACCAAATATCTTGCAAGATTGGTTTTCTGGGTTTGAAGGCTTAGGACCTTAGTCTCATGGGACAACTCAGTCAGTTGGCATAATACAGTTCACAAAGTTCATGTTCAGCATCCTAGTGAGGTGAATAGCATCTAGTGTCTTAAAAGTTTGCAAGCAGCCATCTATGATACAACTATTGGTCTCTACTTATCAGAAGCAAAAGAGAAAGAAGGAAACCATAGGCTCAGAGAAGAAACTAGTCTACAGGGCTAATAGCCTACTCAAGCCATGGCCTCATCTACCCAGAGACCAGAAGAACTAGAGGGTACCCAGCTACCACTACCGACTGTTCTGATCAGGGCCGCAATAGATGGACCCTGACAGAATGGGAGAAAAACACAGAGCAGAACTAAAATTCTTAAGAAGTCCAGACTTATGGACCAGTTGAGACTAGAGGAACTCCCTGAGACTATCACCCTGAGATACTCTTTAAACCTTGAACCAAAACTATCCCCTGAGGTCACCTTTTAGCGAAATAACAGACTGGCACACAAAATAAAGGATATTACCCATGAGTACAGTGCTCCATTAAAAAACTGTCTATATGAGACCAAAAGGTCAACAAGTGCTCTAAAGCAAAGTTAAGAAGATAAGGGGGCAGGGAAACTAGAGCACTGGAAACAGAACAACCAGAAAGCAATTAAAAAGAATGTTGACACATTGTGAAAAATGTAATGTCACTGAAAAATTTGTATAGAAATTGTCAAATGGGGAACCTAATTTGCTATGTAAATTTTCACCAAAAACAATAAAATATTATTTAAAAAAAACAAAAACAAAAACGGATACACTGAGGTAACTCTCTAGCCCCAAAGTGAATGGTCAGTCAGGTTCAAGGCAGATTATAGGCCAAGATCTAAACTCCAAGGCCTAATCCCAAGTAAGGTCATTTTGCACATGTCAATGGTTAAAAGAGAATCCCTGCCTGTGTAGGTAGGGCCCTCATACTGGAAAAGCAGCTGAAGTTTGTCTTTCAGGGACCTAAGGGGTAACTCATTTAATTGTGACTGTAAATTGAAGTGGCTGGTGGAATGGCTAGACCACACCAATGCAACTGTCGAAGACATCTACTGTGAAGGCCCCCCAGAATACAAGAAGCGCAAAATCAATAGTCTCTCCTCCAAGGATTTTGATTGCATCATTACAGGTAATGTATTTAAAATCATTCTACACATAAAACTAAAATAAGGGCTTCATTTTTTGTGTGCACAGAAACTGATATTTTTTACATCTTAAAAATCAACTGACCAGTTTAATTTAAAAAATATTATGAACTGTTAAAATTCCATGACTTTAAAAGCATAGTATAATTGCCATTTTTATGTGTTTCTCTGAATTAAATGTATTTCTTATGGATATTTGAAATCTAGCCAAGGAAACGAGCATTAAAACACAGTTGCTCATCATCATTTTCTTTATTTCTGCAGAATTTGCAAAGTCTCAAGACCTGCCTTATCAATCACTGTCCATAGACACTTTTTCTTATATGAACGATGAGTATGTAGTCATTGCTCAGCCTTTTACTGGAAAATGCATTTTCCTTGAATGGGATCATGTAGAAAAGACCTTCCGGAATTATGACAACATTACAGGTGGGAGAAGCTTAATTGTATTTTGAACAGAAAGGCTTGGGCCAAGAACAGGGAAAGATGAATGGTATGAGGAAATGTTTTGATCAGGCTTAAAGTGATTTGAATCTCAGCTCTAATATGTGGCCTAGGATTGTTCTTTAAGCCTTGATTTCCTAATTTGTAAAATGGGAATAATACCCACCTCACAGGGTTGCTATAAGATAATGCAATCATATATTCATATAGCATAGTAAATACTCAATAGAAGGTGGATTATTTTTCTTCAGAGAAAAAGAATTGGACCAGGAGTCATGGATTCTAATCCAAGTTCTGCCACAAACTAGCTGGACAAGCTACTACTCTCACTGGGCCCCCTTTTCCTTATCAATGAGTCTCAAATTTTGTTATACAAGCATTACTTCTAAAAAAATGTTATTGTTGCCTTGTGACAAAAAATGTTTGTGTTTCTGTAATTCTATGAACCACTGTGAACCATATCGCCCTCTTGGAGATTGTTTTTGTTGTTAGCTGCCTTTAAGTCTGCCCCCGACTCATGGTGATCCCATGAGTTACCGAGTAGAACAGCTGCATAGAGTTTTCTTGGCTGTAACATTAATGGAAGCAGATCTCCAGGCCTTTTCTTCCACAGAGCAGCTGGATGGGTTCAAACTGCTGACCCTTCAGTTAGCAGCCAATCACAAACCGCGCATGCCACCCATACAAACTAGAGGCTCTGAAAAGTCCCGCAGTGAGGAAACTTGTTTCCAGTATATTTCACACTTAATTTGGCCATGGGACCCAATTTTTTCCATGAACACTTCTACTTACGTGATATCTTTAGTCTCTTTCCTACCCAGGTCACACAGTGGTTAAGAGCTCAGGTTGCTAACCATAAGGTCGGCAGTTCAAGTCTGCCATCCTCTCCTTGGAAACCCTATGGGGCAGTTCTACTCTGTCCTATAGGGTCACTATGAGTCAGAATCAACTCCACGGCAACAGATTTAGTTTGATTTGGTTTTAAGTCATAAAATACAACATGGCTTTCACTCTGAAATGTTTACATCAACCTTACCTTCTAATACATTTACATCTGCTCCTAAGAGCACTCAAACCTCCCCATAAAAAGGCACCCTTTAGACAAGGCTTAAAACCAAACCCGTTGCCATCAAGTCGATTCCGACTCATAGCAACCCTATAGGACAGAGTTGTACTGCCCCATAGGGTTTTCAAGGAGCAGCTGGTGGATTCGAACTGCCAACATTTTGGTTAGCAGTTGAGCTCTTAACCATGTGCCACCGGGGCTCCAGACAAGGCTTGGAGGGTCATAGTTAGATTTGTTGGTGGCCATTAGCCCCATTGCTCAGAGGATGAAGACAGGTCTTACTTGAGCCTAAGGTTACCCAGATGAAGGGATTCCCTCCAAACAGGGACTCTCCCAGAGTTCCCCTTCTATCTCAAGGAGAAAGATGTTGCTTCTCTTCCTTCCTTAGCCCCTCTTAGTTTTCAATGGACTGCAGCAGGGTTTCCTGCAGTCTAAACCAGGTTCTTCTTACCTGTATACAGTTCATCAATTGCTTTGACTGAACACTTAAAAAAGAGATGAATCATACATTTGCAGACTTTTAGAGGGCTCCTCAGAGCTCATCTAGTCTAGGATGACAAATATGTGGCATGTACGCTGTCACTAACCCCTCCCTCAACCCAGACAGACATTGCGAAGCTATCATGATGCTGTCTCTTACGGAGCACAGACAAGGCCATAGACTCCTTCTCAGCCCATTTCTCCAGGTAGCCACTATCAATCAATCGATAGTGATACACATGTTGAAATCTATTGGCCATCCCTGATCTAGACCAAACCCTTCATTGTAGAGAAGAGAAAACTGAATCCCAGAGAAGTTAAATGATTTTCCCAAGGTCACGGAATCAGTTTAGTCCTGAAAAGGGTTACAAATAAAATAATTTTGCAGATGTGTGGAGCCAATTAGTAGAAAGAGTTGATGTGGAATTTATTGCCCTAGACCTCCTAGAACTAGAGTCAGAAAGGCCCTGGGGCCTCGATTTGCCCAGCTTCTCTTTGAATTTACAGAGCCAGGCATCCTCTAGGAAGGAGATCAGAATCTATTGATAATTGTCAAACTCTTACCAAAAGGATACTGAGCCAGGCCTCAGAGAGACTCTATATCAGTTTCTGAGATTTCCCAAAATATCTTCTGGGGACCATAGCCAATGGCTGTATCCCCGTTTCACTTTTCTCAAAGATTCTTCTTCCTGCTCTTCTCTCTTGCCACCACTGACCTAACACTTCAGAAAAGTGTCAGGTGGCTGCTCCCTTCTCTCCTCAGGGGAAATTCAGGTTGTTCTAGAGCAGAAGGCAATTCACACTCAAAGGAAACCAATTCCAGGTAAAGATGGGGGCTTCCCAGACCACAGCTCAAGCCTTCAGAGGTTGATTGTAGAAGCCTATGAGATTCTAATTCAGGTTGGAAACCCTGGGACAGCTAAACTCAGCCTAGCTTGGGTTAAAATCACAGAGGCGCTAGAGTCGGGTAGGACTGGGTTTGAATCCCAACTCTGCCTTTTTCTAGCAGGACTTAGCCCCTCTGAGCTTCAGTTTGCCCAACTGTGAAAGGGAGAATAGTAATATATATGGGAAGATTTAACGAGATGATTTGGCAAAGCACATAGTAAGTACTCAATAAATGGTAGTTTTCATGGAATTACTTCAGTTAATTCATGATGCATCAGGGAAAGCAATGCTTTCTTTCTTCAAGAAGTGAGAGGAGGAAACCCAGGCCATAGACACGTGTCCTGAACAACTCATGCAGGTTGAACATGACACGACCACTCCGTTGTTGATAAAATGTCCCGTGAGGCACAAAGATGCAGAACATCAGGACCCGGCAGTCACTGGGCCTTGGAGATAGACCCTACCTAACCAACCAAGGAATCTCTTACTTCAGGCTGATTTGGGTGGAAGTTGTATGGCCTCAGCCTGTGTGTTTACATGCTCCAGAAAGGATGGCCATACAATTAATCTCTCATTTATCTTTTCCCAGGCACGTCCACTGTGGTGTGTAAGCCTATAATCATTGAAACTCAGCTCTATGTCATTGTGGCCCAACTGTTTGGTGGCTCTCACATCTATAAACGAGACAGTTTTGCAAATAAATTCATAAAAATCCAGGATATTGAAATTCTCAAAATTCGAAAACCCAATGACATTGAAACATTCAAGATTGAGAACAACTGGTACTTTGTCGTTGCTGACAGTTCAAAAGCTGGCTTTACTACCATTTACAAATGGAATGGGAATGGATTCTACTCCCATCAGTCCTTACATGCGTGGTATAGGGACACTGATGTGGAATATCTAGAAATTGCCAGAACACCTCAAACACTCAGAACGCCTCATTTAATTCTGTCCAGTAGTTCCCAGCACCCTGTCATTTATCAATGGAACAAAGCAACACAGTTATTTGCTAACCAAACTGACATTCCTAACATGGAGGATGTTTATGCAGTAAAGCACTTCTCCGTGAAAGGTGACGTCTACATTTGCTTGACAAGATTCATAGGTGATTCTAAAGTAATGAAATGGGGAGGTGCCTCATTTCAGGATATTCAGAGGATGCCATCGCGAGGATCCATGGTGTTCCAGCCTCTTCAGATAAATAATTATCAATATGCAATTCTTGGAAGTGACTACTCCTTTACTCAAGTGTATAACTGGGATGCAGATAAAGCCAAATTTGTAAAATTCCAGGAATTAAATGTTCAGGCACCGAGATCATTCACGCATGTGTCAATTAATAAGCGTAATTTTCTTTTTGCTTCCAGTTTTAAGGGAAATACACAGATTTACAAACATGTCATAGTTGACTTAAGCGCATGACACACCAAATTCTGTGGCTGCCATCAGAAACTTTCTACAGTACATGACCTGGATGAACTCAATGCATGATGACTCGTCTTATCACACTCGCAAATGAATGCCTTTCAAACGTTGAGACTGCTAGAACCAAGCACTACCAGTATCTCCATCCTTAACCATCCAGTCCAGTGGTGTGGGAAGTTACCTTTTATATGACAAAATTGAATTGTGTAACTGTTCTTTGCAGTGAAGATGTGTAAATAAGCGTTTAATGGTATCTGTTACTCCAAAAGAAATATTAATATGTACTTTTCCATTTATTTATTCATGTCTTCAGAAACAACTGCCAAATAAAATGTTTACATTTTCTTTCATGTCCCAAATGTAATTATTTATAGGAGTTGTTTTCTTCTTGTTGATGATATGTTGAGGATATAGTTTTATACAATGGGGTTCTATTTGGATCAAGAATTTATGGTGTGAATAATGACTGAAGATAAAACGCTGGTATTGATTACCCGCAATTTATGGGCAGATTTATCTGTAGAGCTAGATCAGTTGATTCTGAACAGCCAAAAGGGCTCACAAAGGTCAGAGTCTTTATGAACGCTTTGAGATGAAATGAATTAAAAGAAGGAGAGGGAAATTTGCCTATTGCAAGAAGACAAATGTGAAATAAAGGACAGTAGGAGTCATCCTTTTCTCTTCTGACAGCCCCATCACTCAGACAATTTATAGGAAAAGTTAAAATCAAGATTTAGGTTTTTAAAAACTGTCTTCAGGGACTGTCTAAATATCTGACTCTAGAATCATCTGACAGCTAAGAGAGACTGAAATTTTTTAGCACTTGCCTCAAATGTACCTGATATGAGGGCCTCTTAATCTGATGAAAGATGATTCTAGATGCCGGTTTTGGCACGTTAATGACATGCTGCAGAGTGACTGAACCTCTCTGAGTCTCAGAAGCCTCATGTTGTATTTTCTAACTTCCTGCTCCTGGGTTACATGAATCCTTAGCACCTTGCACGGATCCCTGGTGGCACAGTGGTTAAGAGCTTTGTCCCTAACCAAAAGGTCAGCAGTTCAAATCCACCAGCCGCTCCTTGGAAACCCTATGGGTCAGTTCTACTCTGTCCTACAGGGTCGCTATGAGTCGGAATCCACTCGATGGCAACGAGTTTTTAGCACCTTGCACAATGTCCGTGACATAGTAGGCTCTCAAAAAATGCTTTTAAAGAAGCAAATGTGTCCTGTTACAATTGTAAGCTTTATTAGGCCCTTTGACCTAATCTGTTATTGTTTATTGAGTACCTATCAAGAACATGGCCTTGTTCCTGGGGAAGAGGAGGAAGGGTAGGGCGTGGTCCTTGCCCTCTGGGGTCTTACAAGATTAACTGGTGAATTAGAACACAAAATAACTACAGAGCAAGCAGTGAGTGTCAAGTGTCATCGCACATTCCAGATTATAAGTATCAAGGGCATATCAAAGGTGACTTCCTGGAAGAAGTGGCCCTTATTTGAACTTAAAGGGAAGATATTATTTCAAGTGGCAGAGAGGATATTCCTGGCACAAATTGGCTCTGTGTACTGCCTTCACAGAGGGGATCAGAGCTTCTTCCTGCTCGTTCTTCCCTCGAGTCCTATGCCTTATGACTGGGATGCAGGTGGGCAGACAGCATCCCCCTTGCTCAGCACATATCTGGCAGACTTGAGGCATCAAAAATGCTTATGATAGCTATATGGTCTTCGGGAGCAACACTCTTGGAGAGTTATGCTCCTGAGGTGTCCACAGGAACCAGATTCCTTAACTGAATAGGAAAGATATGAACTCTGACATCAGGTTATGGGGGAGAAGAATACTTACCCATTCTCCATCCTGCACAATAAGAAAGAATATCTTTTACTTTTTTTTAGTTTCTTTTTCCAGTAAGCATCATCATATTGCCCTTGGAGAACATCTACTTTGAACAGACTGTGTGAGTCCGGCTCTGCCATGGACTGGCTTTATCCATAAGCAAGTTACTTAACTTCTTGGAGCTCAGCATCATCTGTCAAAGAAGGACAATAATACCTATTTCCAAGGACAATGGAAGGATTTAATGAGATATTGCATGTGTAGTGGATTGTGTTTTCCAACTATGGCCATAACAGTGTCTCCCATCCCATCTGCTCTATGAGAACTTTGCCCCCACCCCATCAAGAGGTGGTGTCTAATTCTCTTATCCTTAAACCTGCGTGGGTTTGTGACTTGTTTGTAACCAATGGAATGTGGTGGAAATGATAGAGTAGCACTTTTAAGGGTAAGTCATAAAAAATGATGATGCTTCTGCCTTGTAAGCTGGAACACTCACTTTTGGAGCCCTGAGCTGCTATATAAGAAGTCCTACTAGCCTGAGGCCACCATTCTGTGAGGAAGACCAGGCCACATGGAGAAAGCACATATAGGAGCTTTGGTCAACAGCCCAAGCTGAGATCCCAGCCAACACCAACATCAACCACCAGACATGTGACTGAAGATGCTTCAGGTGATTCCAGCCCTCAGTTGTCAAGACACTGCCAGCCATCATATCTTCTCATCCGAGGCCGCAGACATTGTGGAGTAGAGACAAGCCGTCTCTTAAGTGCCCTGTCCAAATTCCTGCCCCATAAAATCTATGAACATAAAATGGATGTTCTAAACCGCTAAGTTATGGGGTTGTTACACAGCAATAGTATTTGAAGTAGCATGTAAAGTGCTTACCACAGAACTGACACAAATTAGCACTCACTAAGTGATAGCCATTATTGCTAGTAGGCTCCACACCCAGAATATTGTATACTTTGGAGCCATGCTCTATCTTATTGTCCTAATGCAATTCACTGTCATTTCCTTTTTAAAGGATATGTCCTTTTTTTCAATATATTATCAGTGTTCTTACTCTGTGCTGGGATACAGACATTAAAGTCTTAGATTCTGCCCTGCTTGTTTTCATAGAATCATTGACTAAGTTAGCAAAATGACTCTTTAATTTACCTTAAAACCTGAAACCCAGACATGTGAAGTGAGCTGGATGAGTCCGGACTATAATCCAACCCTCCTGATTTGTAATCCAGTCCTCTCTCCATCAGATGGTGCTGCTTTTCAAACACTCATTCTCCAATCTGAACCTGGGATTGTAGGTGGGGAGAAAGGTGAGGAATGAGGAGGCAGACTGAGAAAATCAACTCAAGAAAGACTGAAGAGCAGGGCAGGTGGTAGGACTCACTTTTGCAGGGGTTGACCAGCCTTTTCTGAGAATTGTCCGTCTCCCCATACCCCACATCTATTCCATACTATACAACTCTGCTCCCTTCCTGGCCACAGATGATTGTGCCTGGAGTAAACACCCAAGGTGTTCAACCTAGAAGCTGGGCTGAGCTCGGTGTGAGTCAATCCAGTTCTCTTTTCTGGATATTTGGAATCGGGGCAGCAATAGCTGCATTAATAAGCCATACGCACCAGACTTGTAAAGTGGTTGTCTTAAATAGGTTCCCTAGGACTAGAGCTTTACAAAGCATTTTTTTAAAGAGTGTTCTTAGGATAAACCTGTAAAGGAGTCAGAGCAGCAGTATAGGGCATTGGAAGATACTATGCAACAATGTGTTTTCAGGAGAAATCTAGCCTCAGGCTGATCCCATGGGGAGCTCTGGGGCATGAATTTTACCACAAGGTTAATTCCGCCTTGAGACAACAAGGCTGGATTTTATACCCCCTCATCTCAGGATTAGTGGACAAAGAGCATGGGGCATAACTTCTCAGGCACCAATGGCTAAGAGCAATCCTCCAGAGAACAGTATGCGCATGAGCTGTTATTAACAGGCACCCACAGCAGCTGCAGGATGAGTGCATCAGCCTAGTCAAGGGCATCGGGGCAAGATACTAACAGCATATGCCACAGTAATGGTAACTGAGGAGTTGAAGGCACCATTCTGGAGCAGCCATGATCTCACATGTGCCAGGAAAGCAGAGGAAGCTGGTCTGCCAAGTGAGAGAAGAATGAGGTAAAAGCTCAGAAAGAAGCAGAGGTGAGAAACTGTGTAGTCTGAGGGAGAGAGGGAGACAGAAAAAAAAGATGAAAGGAAAGAAGACAGAGAAGAGATGAAAAAAGGGGGAGTGAGAAAGAGAAAGAAGGAGAGCAAAAAGAAAAGGGAGGGGGGAGGGGGAAGAGTGAAAGAAAGATTAGGACATGTTGGGTTTACTGAGAAACAGCATTTGAGAAGTTAGTGTACAAAATATTTATTAGGGAGTACTTTGGGATGGAGCCCTGATGGCACAGTGGTTAAAGCACTTGGCTGCTAACCAAAAGGCCAGCAGTTCAAACCCACTAGCCTCTCTTTGGGAGAAGGAGGTGGTAGTCTGCTTCTGTAAAGATTTACGGCCTTGGAAACCCTATGGGGCAGTTCTACCCTGTCCTATAGGGTCACTTTGAGTTGGAATTGACTCAACAGCAATCAGTTTGGGTCCCTCACTCTTGGGATCAACATGAGTGAGGGAGAGGAAAGGAGCAGGATTGGGCAGAGGGAAAAGCTGAGCTTGGATGCAGCTCCAACCAAAGCCTCAGGCAATCCTATAGGGAGCTCTAAAGTTGGGATATCCCTTCTGAGTTGGAGCAATATAGAGCCCTTATAGCTCTATATTGATTAGTCATTGGATGCAGGCTGTCCCTGGAAAGAAGCACGGCTTTAGGCAAGGCAGTTTCTTTAGCCAAGGCGATTCCCAAAGAGGGCTGACAGCTGATGCTCACCTTCTGGCAGCTTTCCCAGCAATTGGGAAAATAAGTCCTTTTTTCCTGAATGGGGATTTGGTAAGTGCAGCACAATATCCACCACAGAGGGAGAGTGAGAGAGGGAGGGTGGAGAGAAGGGTAGGAGAGAGAAAAATGAGAAGTTGCCTTGACTCCTAATGAATGTCTATTTCTTGTTCCATTTCTCATTAGATCCAGTGGCACTCCCTGCCCTTGAATTCCTTGAGGTACTCTGTAGTCTTCTAATAACAATACTCTTGTTACACACACAAACATACACATACAATTTTGTTTTGTTTGGGGTTAGTTTGAGTGGATTTCTGTACTTACCGCAAAATTATCTCCACTAAGTCGGAGTGTTTAGGCATAATTTATTATAACATAGATATGCGACATGATGGCAGTATTCATATTTTCAATTTTTTTCTCTCTGTAGTTCAGACTGGATCATTTCTATTGATCTGTTTTCAAGGTCACCGACTCTTTCTTCTGTAATCTACATTCTGCTATTGAGCCCATCTGGTGAGTTCTTTACTTCAGACATTGAATATTTCAGTTCTAAAATTTTTATTTAATTATTTTTTATAGTTTGTTTCTATACTGAGAATTCCTATCTTTTCATTCATTT